TTTTTTTTTTTTTTTTGGCATTCCAGAAGAGAGGAGACAGAGAAAGGGATAGAGAAAATCTTTGAAGAGATAATAGCTGATTAAATACCCAAAGTAATGAAAAATATGAATACTCAGATTCAGTAAACAAAATAAATCTCTAGCTGGATAAATAAAAAAATTCATGCCTAGTCGTCCTTAATAATAAAAGCATAATATGCTAATTAGACTGGATGTCCTTATGGTCGTCCTTCCATCCTTCCAAATGAAGCCGGTGCTGTGAAGGAAGCCCAGGTCCTGGGTGCCTGCCAGCAGAGGGAGGGAAGCCCAGGTCCCGGGTGCCAGAGGGAAGCCGGTGCTGGCGCCCAGGGGAAGGAAGGCCTACTCTTGCATGAATTTCGTGCATCGGGCCTCTAGTCTATCCTATGTAATAATGAGGGAATACGCAAATTGACCATCACTCTACCACAAAGATGGCGCCCACAGTGGAGGGGGGGGTTTCCATAACACAAGATGGCTGCACCCACAACGCAGGCCGAGTTCCCATAACGAGCCTTAACGAGCAATCAGCAGGGACCTGAGGCTGTGCTCCCCCTAACCCCTGCCCCCCCACCATGGATTTGACAGGGGACCTCAGGCAGTGCCCCCTGCCCAGTGGGGCTTGACAGGGAACCTCAAGGTGCGCCCCCCTGCCCCAGTGCTGGGCCAGGGGACCTCAGGCTGGCTTGATGGGGGACCTCAGGCTGCGTCCCCTGCCTGCGGGGCTTGATGGAGGACCGTAAGACGTGCCCCTGCCCCGGCCTGGGCCAGGGGACCTGAGGCCATGACCCCCGCCTGGTGGGGCTTAACGGGGACCTCAAGGCATCCCCCTGCCCTGGTGCCAGGCCGGGGCACCTGAGGGTGGGCCAGGGGACCTGACGCTGTGACCCCACCCGGCGGGGCTTGACAAGGGTGGAACCGTCCGGGTCTGGATCTAGCCCAATGTGGGGGTGATGGCCGGGTCTGGGTCTCACGCGATTTTGAGGTGCACGTGGGTGGGCAGGGACTTGACTCAAGGTCCCATGATGCGCCCCAGACTCTGACAGGAGGAAGATTTTCATATACATTTTACTAATTTTCTTTCATCTCTGACACTTCTATTATAGAGAAAGGGCAAATAGCAATATTAAAATATTTCCTCTAATTAATCCCCTTTTAATGTGCACG